AGATATGTGGTTTATGCAAGATTGGGCTCCACCACATTTTTCTTTAAACGTTAGAAACCACTTGAATGAACAATATCCACACAAATGGATAGGCAGAGGTAATGACGCACCTGTAAACTGGCCACCACGTTCCCCAGACCTAACACCGATGGATTACTTTTTATGGGGACATCTGAAATCCACAGTTTACAGGGAACCTGTAGAAAATGAGGAACAACTCTGGCAACGTATTCAAGATGCAATAAACAATCTTAGAGGTGATGAAGAAGTTATGGAAAGGATACATTTTAATTTTCTTCGACGTATAAATCTTTGTATGCGTGAAAATGGTGAACATTTTGAACAATTTTTGTAAAATCTCTATTTCGATTATGTTGTAAATAAATATTTTTGTGAAACCTATACACTCTAAATTATTAAAACAGAAATTTAGCGAAAACCATGAGAGTAATCGAGTCTTATCAAGAGTACCTTTTTTAAAGTAAATGAGTTGCACAATCTAAATTTCATACTCAAACTCCTTTTCTTCCATTGGCGTAGAATTTTTAAAGGTGCAATTATTTAAAAAATCAAGTTCTACGCCTATGTATTATTATCGGACAAAATTTTAATACCATTTTTTTTGCCACATAAAACTTTACCAACATACCAAATTTTTACTTTCCTATCTGTATACAGATATAAGGAAAGTATAGGAATCATGATTTTTTTCGACCTCGAGTTTTCGACGGATTTTTACGTTTTGAGGTCCCCTGAATCCGTTTTGACTATTTTCGCGATGATGTCTGTGTGTGTGTGTGTGTGTCTGTGTGTGTGTGTGTCTGTGTGTGTGTGTGTCTGTGTGTGTGTGTGTCTGTGTGTGTGTGTGTGTCTGTATAACGCATAACTCATGAACCGATACACGGAAAAACACCAAATTTCAAACTTAAGCTTTATTCCAGCGTCTAATGAGCTGATTAGATTTTGGGCAGAGTCGGAACATCTGGGGGGGTACTTTATAGGTGGTCATTTTTATATTTTATGGAATATATCTGTTATTTACGTTTGGGGAAGAAAATTTTTTAAATAAAAGTTACTTCTTATTTTATTATCTATAATTTTTGTCATTTACAAAATTTTCCTAAAATGGTCCGTATTCGAGAAATTTGACAAAATGTAAAAAAATATTTTTTTTTATAAAAATTGTTCAAACAAAAGTTGTTTGTAATATAATTCTCTATAATTTTTGTCCCATAGATAATTTCTCTAAAATGGACCGTATTCGAGATATTTGAGAAAATGTGTAAATTTCGAAATTTGAAGAAAACTCAAAAACGGATAAAGAAAAAATCAATAAATTTTAAACTTAAGTTTTATTTCGGCCTGACGTGAAATGATTAGATTTTGGACAAAGTCGGAACATCTGGGGGGGTACTTTATGGGAGGCAGTTTATATATTTTATGGAATATATCTGTTATTTATGTTTGGAGAAGAAAATTGTTCAAATAAAAGTTACTTCTAATATTATTATCTATAATTTTTGCCTTAGGTAAAAATTTCCTGAAATGGTCCGTATTCGAGAAATTTGACAAAATGTGCAAAATTCTGATTTTTATGAAAATTGTTGAAATAAAAGTTGTTTGCGATATCGATCTCTATAATATTTGTTCATACATGATTTTTTTTAAAATGGACCGTAATGGAAAAATTGTAGGAAAAGTGCTAAATTTAAATTTTTCAGTATTTTCATTTTTAATGAATATCTATAGAAAAATGTTTCGCGGTAGATGTATGTGGACAATGTATATATATTTAGTTTATCCTCTAAACATTTATAGAGATGCTGCAATAGGTTGTACACAATAAACGGAAAAAGCCTGTAATAACTAGATAGGAAAGTCATGTGTTGGACACATCAGATTTTTTTTGTTAGTGATAAAATTTGTGCCTTTATTAGTTAAATATATTGCTTTTTACATTTTTTCTGACTGATATCCTCTTCATTAAAATAATTCAAATACAAAGTTCAGAAAATAATTTACAATCCTGTTTATCTTTCTCAAGCTAATCATGCTGAAATAACCAATACACTTCGCTGTGATATGCGTGATAATCATCGTTCTTAAGGCATATATTTGCCTAGAGTAGTTCAATCCATAAATACAGCCAAACATGAAGTCACAGGGTATTCACCATCCTTCCTTAATTTTGCTCGTAACGTTCCATTTTCTGGAGATTTTTATGGTATATTTTCAAATAATTTTAATAATATTCCGTCAGTATCTGAAAAATTACAACGTATCGATGACACACAAAATTTACCTAAATTATTTATTATTATAACAAGCTGCTCATATATACAAGCATATTTTGAAACTGATTTGAAATTTTATTATTAGAAAGATGTATTTATTAGCATTTGAGGCATACAAAAAGTAAACCTTTTCTGTACAGTAAATGCATTTTGTTTTAGCATAACAATAAAATGATTTCAAAAACAATAAAAGTTACTGCGCATTTATAATATTAAAAAATTGAATGTTTTTGTATCAATTCCTATTTGGTAAAATAATACGACATTTAATTATATTTATTCAAATTGTATTACTAAATTTTTTAAGAATAAGACACCTCCAACATCTCACTTTACAAAAATTTTACATAAAAGTCCTATTGAATTTCCTGTTTACCTGTTGAAAAAGTAATACTAACATAACAGTAACAATAGAATAAAGTAATACAATTCCAATAGAATGGGCGCCATAAGAACCTTCTGCCGAGTACAGGTTCTGAGAATTTCGAACAAAAATCTCCTCACCAGAGTCGCATACTCAGCTGAGCTCGTAGGCGGAACATAAGAAAGAACGAAAGGAATATTTATTTTTTTTATTTAGCAATATAAAGACAACGTTAAATAATAATGAATTATTTGTTTCATTTTTTGCAATATTATTTATTTATATTGAAATTGTCTAATATTATGTAGTGGTTAAAACAACCAAAAAATAAGAATTTATTACTAAACTTGAATATTTGCTAACAAGACTTTGATATTAATACAGAAAGATATTACAGACAGGAGCGGTTTCTCCATTAATTCATTTGTGCAGTGAACACCCAGTTAAACTTCATAAAAATACAATATTTTAAAATTACATAAATAACATACAAATATAAATTTAATTTTAATATTTTTTTTGTCATATGTCAACCAAAGTAATAAGAATTGTTCATTATTTTTTTGCTCTTATTGCAATGAAAAATCGAAATTCTGTAATTATATCCCCTCGAGAATTTTCTGAAGTGAGCACATGGTTGGGCATTTGTCCCCTTTAACATTCATTGTGACCGCGGACCACGAGGATGGACGGCTTAAAATCACGTTTGAAGATTTTGCGACAGACACTGTATTCGTCACAGTCCGCAAAAAAGCCAGTTGGAATCTACAGGGCGATAACATAGGCTTGCTTAATTTACTATACCGAATAAAAATGTATTCCTATTTTTATCACAATTTTTAAGCAAAATCCTAAAATTTTATTTATATGTTATGGCTATTTGGTCTTACCAGAAACCGCTTTATGTTTGATATAGATCCTATCTTATTCACGCGGATTTTCAAAGGAGAGGGACCTGTTAGACTTAAAATTTCTACTCTATTCCAAGATATGATGTAAGTGGAAGCGTTAGTTAGTTAGTCCATCATCGTTAGTCATAAATTACACATTTTCTAAATCCCTTTTACTAAATAATATAAATTTGTGCATTTATTATGGTAGCCATTTCTTTATGTATCTTAAGGCTGTTTTCACGGTTTACTATTTTAGAATTATCCATGTATCTTAGTTATTTATCATCAGTATAATTTCGGTTTTTGCTGAAGTATTCAAAAGAAACACCCTAATAATGTCTAGTCTTTTAATTTTTTTTACACTCTAGTTTTTTAAATAAAAAAATGAATAATAAATTTTATCAATTTGCAGATATCAATTTTTGGAAAACTGGAGTTTGTAGCTGATTTTTTCTATTTACAAGTTTGTAACGTGATACTTGTTATTTTATCTATTTGTTATAGTGTTTTAAGTACAATTGATTTTGGGAGTGGGTCAGGTTATTAAATAACTCGTATTACCTTGAAAAAGAAGTTGGGCACCATTATATTTAAAACTTATTATACTTGACTATAGATTAGTGATAAAAATATAGAAAATCACTAACCATTAAGATATTATATTTAAACAAAGATTTAGATAAGGTAGTGACAAAGTCTAATTCACAGAGATTTACTTAATTCAAATTTAGATGGTATATTGAATAAAACTTATCTGTTATAACAGGAGGTAGTTATATTGGGGTAATTAGCATGGTATTATAGGCCTTCTTCAAAGGGACTTGAACGATATTCTTCGGATAGCACCAAACTCTTAGGTATAAATCTTCATCAACTTCTTGATATAAACTTCTTAGATACAACTTGAAATAAACTTCTTAGATAGGACTTGAAATAAACTTCTTTAGATATAGTTCGAACTAAACCGTCTAGATATAGCCACGCTTATAAAATCAGACGGCCAATAAGAATATTAAAAGACAATTAGTACATCGGATGTCCAAGATAATTTAAAATTTAAATCAACTTGATTTGTTGACAGATATAAATCGAATGAATTAGGAACTTTTGACGCAAGGCATAAACGATAAATGACATTTGAGTAGAGATGTTTGTGTCAAAATAACGAAAACGGTTCCAACCGTTACAAGTTTTTGCTAAAATCAAAAACTGTAGTAAACCGTTTTACAATAATATTTTTATTTCATTGCATGTTTGACCAAAGTTTCACCTAACCGTTTGTATTTTCATCATTAAAAAGAACTTGCCCTATTGGTGCATCACAAATTTTAAACATCATTCGAATATGAAAATATTTATCTCTGCCGAGTTCAGGAAAAGATAGGAATTTTGAAATTCACCCTTTCTTTTAAGTATGGTATATGTTATTTGATTAAAAACAATTTTTAGATATGTGATAAAATGTTGAAATGCGGTCAACCATATTCTCCACATGTATGCGAGAACCTCTGTCATAAAAGACCATGTCCCCCGTGTCTTAAAACTACTGTGGTTACATGCAGATGTCGTCACATGGACAAAGAATTACCATGTCAAGAACTCACTACAAAAGCTGATGTTGCCAGATACGAGAAGAAATGTACAAAAGTAAGTTATTTGTATTAACATATATCAAGAAATTATAAGTATAGTCATTTAACATTACTTTTACAGAAACGTTTGTGTGGAAAACACTGTGTTGCATAGAAATAGACCATGTATGCCCTCTTCCATACAACCATCTTCTCACCTGTGGACAACGTAGGTGCGAACGTACATTCTGGACGTTGCCCACCTTGTATGGAAACCAGTTTTGAAGAATTGTGTTGTGAATGTGGGGCTATCATTTTGCACCCACCTATCCTTTGTGGTACTAAACCTCCGAATTGCAACAAGCCTTGTTCAAGGCCGAGGCCTTGTGGACATGATCCCAATTATACTTGTCATACAGGACTTTGTCCTCCTTGTACTGTTCTTTGCAAGAGATGGTGTTATGTGACACCATAAACAAAGATCGGCCATTCCTTGTCACCAAGAGAACTTTAGCTGTGGTTTACCATGCGGAAAAAATATGCCATGTGGGAGACACAAGTGTGCTAAACCATGTCATGATGGGCGTTGCCCTACGCCATATAAACAACCTTGTACTATTTAGATTAGAAGTTGGACGTTATTTGTCCTTGTCCACCACTACCTTATTAGATCTATTGTGGGACTCCGTTTGTTTTAGAGTATGTCATCTAGCCTGGTCTTTTTTATTAGACTTAGTAGCTTTGACAGTTGCTCCCGCATGTAGTTCCACGCATTTGGCTTTTCTTCGCCCAATGTTAGAAACCTCATTCCAGCCAGGCCTTCACATTGGAACAGGACGTGGAATGATGTTTCCTCTTCTTCTTCACAGAACCTGCACAAAGTGGCTTCTTCTGCTGGATTTATGACACTCATGTGCCTTTTGAGGCGACAGTGTCCAGTAAGAAGGCCTAATGTTATCCTAACGATTTGGCAATTTTGATCCAGTAGGTCTTCCGTGAACTTGGCCGAAGGTTCCTTGATGATCTGTTTGGCCTGTCTCAGTCTTGGATAGTTGTTCCACCATTCCTGAGACTCTTTTTGCATCCATTGTTCAATGGATGCCTTGCACAATGCCTTAGCAACTCCACAGGAGAGTTCGGGGCCTGTCATGGCCTTATCTGAGCCTTCTCAGGCTAATTCGTCGGCCTTTTCGTTGTCCTGATATCCCTCATGGCCTGGAACCCACGCTAGGGTCACCTTATTTTGACTACTTAGCTCTGTCAGGTCTTCTAGACAGTCTTTCACCAGTCGTGATTTGATTTCTGGTGAGAGAATTGCCTTTAGAGCTGCTTGGCTATCAGAATATATGGCAATAGTTTTGCCTGATACTTGCTGATTTAATATTTCTCTTGCACAGTGTTGTATGGCTATTAGCTCAGCCTGGAACACTGTTGCATATTTTCCTAAACTCAGCGAAATCGTTGATTTCGACTTGGGTCCATAGATTCCAGCACCGGCTCCTTCCTTGGTTTTTGAACCGTCTGTGTACCAGACGAGTTTAGCCTGTACGGGAGGTCTCTGTTTCCAGGATTCTCGGGCTAGTATTTGAATTTGAAAATTTCTTTCAAATTTGTATGTGGTTATGGCTCTATCAGTAGGCATAGCTAGAATATTATCTTTTTTTACTTGCTGATATAGCCTTGTGTGGTCGGCGCTATGTAGTTGGCTTATTGGGTTTTGTCCTTGCATTAGCCTGTGAATAGCTGACCTGGTTTCTCCTTGTATGAAGATGTGCAGTGGCGTGAGATTTAATAATACCTCCATTGCTGCAGTCGGCGTAGTGCGCATGGCCCCAGTAGCACTTAGACAGGCAATCCGCTGAATGCTAGTAAGTTGGCCTATTGCACTTGCCTGCGCAGTTTTGGTTACCCACGCCATTGCGCCATGGTCATTTTGGGGTATAGACCCCAGTTTTTCCCACATATTCTTCTACAGCTTACGAGAGCTATTGTAGCTTTACGTGTGAGTTTTTTTTGAGATGATTCCACGTCAGACTTTGGTCAAATATGACTCCGAGGTGTTTGGCTTCTATGACGAATGGGATAACTGTGTTGTTTAGTACTAGTGGTCTTAGACCTGTAAGTACCCGTTTTTTTGTGAATGGTACAACTGTTGTACTATATCAAGAGGATTGTGTGGGCACTCATGCGGCAGGTAGGCACTGAAAAGTTTCATTTTGGTCCTGTTAATTTTCTTAGTCCTATAAATATGTATTTATCAACAGAAAAAATTATCACTATTACAATAAATAGTTATTTGTAATGCCTTAAGTATCAAAAATAATTGTTTATTTTTTAGGCCTTGTTATGATTCACCTTGCCCCGAAAGCAGTTGCAAGCAAAATGTACAACTTACTTATGAATGTGGCTTACAGAAAAGCACAAGAACGTTCTTAGAAGTTGCCGATGAATTTCTTAACATCCAAATGGCCCAATTGAAAGAGAAAATGGGAAGCTTCTCAACCAGTTCGACCATTGATTTAACTGATATATTGAATGTTAAAAAAAAACTTCAGTTTTAAAGATGTAGGTTAAAAGTGTTGCTCAAAACATTAGAAATTTAATTATATTATCACTTTAGATTGGAATGTACAGAAGAATGTCGCGTTTTGGATAAAATAGAAGACTAGCTATAGGTTTACAAATACGTAATCCAGATCTAAGTCAAAAAATTTAAATTTTTCAGCATTTTCGTTGACAGTGAGGCAATGAGTGTATACCGAAAGTAAAAGTTGGAAAGGCTTTTGGTAGGTAGAGAGGGGGTAAACGTCAAATACGTTGGACGGCTTCGAGAATTTCGCAGTCATGTTTACCTGCCAGTGTCGTTTCATAGAATAAGTAATTTTAAATTTTAAATTGGATCCGGACAATCGCAGGTACTTATGGACTATAAATAATTATTAAACATGTATTATAATATTCAAATCATAATTTTACAAAATTTCAACAGCTATTCACAATTTATTAAACTATTTACTCGAAATTGTTAATAACATCTATAAAATAATTTTGTACGCCAATGTATCGCGTCTACTTCTGTAAGATCCGTCGTAAACCTGTCAATTTAGGTGTATAAAGTGGGAGAACAAAAAAAAATCAAAGTATGTGGGGAGAACTGGCAAAAGCCTTTCCAACTTTTACTTCTGCTATATATAGAAAAATGTTTCAAGTTAGATGTATGTGGAAAATGTATATATTGAGTTAACCTCTAAATATTTGCAGAGATGCTACAATAGGTTGTACAAAATAACCGAAGAAAGCCTGTAATAACTAGATAGGAAAGTCATGTGTTGGACACATCAGATTTTTTTTAGATTATTTATAAAATTGTATTGTTATTATTATCAATGACTTGTAGTGTGTTTATATGGCTTATTAAATTTATTTAGTTTTCCAAAAAATTGGGTTACTATGTCGTGTATTGTGTTTTAATTATTTTGTGCTGATTTAGAATGGAAAAAATAAGGACCAAAACAACATTATTACTAGGTTGTAAGTTTAATCAAATTCCATTTATAGGTCAACGTGCCCTTCTTTCATATAAATTTTCAATAAAAATGTATATTGTTAATTTTAGAAACAAAAAGGTTTATTTTTATTTGTTCTCTTTTCGCATCTGGTGAATAATGAATTTTTCGAAACCATTTTCAACATTATGCAACTAGTTGCGTAAAGTAGGTCATTTTGACACTTGCTGCGATTACAAAAAATGTGACTTTATATGTCAATATTATAAAAATATATTTTTGTCCATTTTTGTCTGTTACTTGTTCCTTTCTATTATATTTCTAGATTTCTTGCAATAATTAATTCATGTTTTTTCAACAAAATTTCTTCAGAATATTTTTTAACTTCCTATATTTATTTTAAATAACTTTTAAAAATGTAAGAATTTTATTTAAAGTAAATATTAAGTTAGTTAGTTATATGTATATTATTTCATATCGTTGACTCTTTTAAATAAATGTATTAAAATGCAATAGTATTGTATTAATGTTGGATGATTTATATTTTTAAAGATGTACGGGATGCAATTTACACAATTACCTTCATACAAGTCCGTAAAATGATTTAATTTCGCTCGTTTATGACAAGTAAGTTTCTTTGATTCATGACTGTATGTCTGGAGACCATAAAAATTATTTTAAGGAGCAATTAAAAGAGGTTCCGATGCTACTTAACAGCTTTATTAAAAGTGGGTTTAATTTTAGTCATAAAAAGTTGAAAAGCAGTAATGTCAAATAGAATCCAGTCGGCGAAGTCAAACTTTAAATTGAATTTAATAAATACAAAGAAGAAATTGTTTTACTGAAAATTTCTTATGAAATATTTTATTTGAGTGTTATAGACTTCCTTGAGCTGAATTTGATCGCCAGTTTCATATGTCTGCTTTGACGTTTGAAAATGTTTTCTCAAAATTAATATAATTCCCCGTGCTTTTAAAATTGTTTATTCAGAGTTAGTAAACAAATTAAAAGTGCCTACTATTCAATAAAATGTTTAAAACAGCATCATAAACAATAGCACCAGAACGTTACCGAAAAGTATATGGATATAATTAGGAAATTTTCCACGAAATAATCATACTGGAATAACTTTGAACAATCTACTTTTATTTTATTGTGGACTGCCAGTTAATTAATAATTCCAAGGTAGTTTCAGACCAGCTTTGATTGGGTTATATTTGAACTAAGAACCTTTAAGTACGATTATTTATTTCTTAATCTTCCAAGAAGGCTTTTCAAACCTAAGAAGGCAAAATCAGAATAGATCGAGTGAGAAACATTTACATCAGAAAACAATAGAGAAGAAAGCAATGACAGAAGCTGTAAAGAATGGAAGAACTTAAACTGTCGCGTGTCGCGTGTAGTACTTGAAGGAGAATCAAGAGAGTAAAGACGATTTTCAAAAGGATGGTGAGACAGTTTACAGTCTATCTACAAAGGCATTATTTAAAGAATTCTATCTGAAAATAGGAATAAGGTGCAAAGTGCAAACCAGTATAAAGTAAATTGCTAACGTCGTTGATGAGTGTATTTGTTTCAGTCTCTTTTTACGATAGAAGGTATTCAGAGGCTATCCTTTTTATTCCCTTCCGTCTCAGAACCGTTGATATAATAATTTTAATTTCTTTTTTTCAATATATGTAAATTTACCTATAATTTTCTTATTTTGGTAATAGCTGCTCATGATGATTGTCTTTCTTTATAACCCCGTAGCATCGTCTAAAGAGTTTGAATGAAACCAACGCAACGATGTACACCTATAAATATTTTGTGTTTCTTTTGTCTGAATGACCAGTTATACAAAGCTGATTCTTAACACAGGAATGAAAGAACTAAAAATTCTTTTTTTTTGTTCTTGAATGAGCTACTAATATTTTTACATATATACTAAGTATAATAACATATAATTTATACGTTCCAAGAATATCATAAAATGTTTCCTAAATAATTTTTACTTTTTGTGCATATTACTTTCAACATCTTCCTATAAATATATCCTATGACTCTTTGTGAATTAATTCGTTAACTAAATCTATTTTGTTTTTATTATGAGTAAAAGAAACAGAAACCTGCATATATTATGTATATAGTTCAATTATTCTTCAAGGAATTTTTCCTTTTGTTGTGTTTTCGAAAAAAGCAATCCAAGCGTCTTTCAATAAGCTTTAAATTTATTTCGAAAAACGCATCCAGCAGTTGGTTCTTTTCAGTCACTTTAAAAGAGCAAATGAAATTGAAAAATTGAGTAACCCGCACTGGTTTCATTTCCTGTGATGATTTCTTTGTTTATTCCATGAAGTAAATTTAGATTTACAATCGGATAACATATGTAACTCGTGTGCGGGGTGACCCAATTTTCAGGAGGACATGACTTCAAGCGAAAGAATTCAATGGACTTTTTACAACTTTATTTACGGTCAGTACCGAGCAGTTTCAAACAATCTGTCGTTTTAATAATAATGTCAACTTCACGTATCTAGAAGGTAATAATAACTTTACAAATTCCATTTAAGTCTTTACCTTAATTGTGTGAAATAATGGCGAAAAATTAACTTGTGGTAATAGTGACTGAGAGATCTTTCGATGAAAATAAATATTACAAATTGACAAGTTAAAAAAAAAACATAACGTCACCACAGAATAACAGAAAAGAAACATAGGGCTAAAACAGGAACCTAGTCACCGAAGCCACACCTTCTTGATGGTGGAGAATTGTCAAAAGTGAACCGTTTGGTACCTTAATCGATTAAAACGAGAGATAAAGATACCAGGCTTCTGTCTGCAACAAACAGAGATCGTAGATTTGTGACTCGTTTAAAGTGCAACAGTGCACACTTTTGTAGCACATGAACGAAGCTCTCACTGCTGTCGCTGTTAGAAAACCAATATTTTGTTTTAGACGCATTCAAAATTATTGCCAAAACTGGTACAAAACAAGTGGGTCAGGCAGTATCCGCAGAACGAAGAGAGCTGGTTACATTTTGCGCTTTAATAAGTGGAGTCGGAAATACAATTCCTTCTGCCCATGTGTTCCCAAGAGCAAAATTTAAGGATGTTTTTACGAAAGGTGCGCCCACAGGAAGTCTTGGATTAGCCAACAAGTCAGGGTCAGGATGGATGACATCTTTATTATTTTTGGATATAATTAAACACATACAGAAGCATACAAAATGTACGAAAGATGAACCCATACTGATTGTATTTGAAAACCATGAGTACCAGACCAGTCTCGAAACAATTTTATTTTGTAGAGAGAATGGAATTATTTTCACTACATTTTTCCTTCATTGCCTCTTGACCGCCTCCAGCCTCTTGACTATAAGGCCCATTTAAAACCTATTTGAAGCCAGCTTTTAATGATTGGTTGGTAAATCATCCTGGCAAAAGGGTATCCATCTATGGAATTGCTGAACTGATAGAAAAAGCATACCAGAAAGCTTTTACACTGGCCAATATATGTTCTGGGTTTAGAAAAAGCGGTATTGTGCCTTTTGATAAAGGTATTTTTAAGGAAGATGACTTTGCTGCTGCATCTGTAACATATTCAAGGGCCCCAGAAGAAACAGACGCACCATCAACATCTGCACTGGTCACTAGCACTTCATCAAATGCACCATCAACATGTCAACATCTGCACTGGTCATTAGCACCAGGGCCGACTAGAGGGGGGGCAGCCGGGACTAATTTCAGGGGCCCGGGATCAAATGGGGGCCCGACAGCGGTGGTGTTTGTAACTTTCAGAAGTTCGACAGACGAGTTAGAGAAATTCAAGTAGAGGAGGAGAAATTTTTGCTTGAAAACCTTTTGTTATTTAATTTTTTACAAAATTGTCTCGGGGCCCGATCTGGAGAATTGTCCTGGGCCCCGGTTTGGCTTTCGGCGGCCCTGATTAGTACTCCATCAACTTCATTACAGCCTGAAATCATTTCGCCAGACATAATACGGCCCTACCCCAAAGCAGAGAAAAAGAAATTAAAGTTAAAAGGAAAATCACGAATTTAAACAGAGACGCTAGT